ATAGAAAAGCCAGCTCTCAAAGACATAACTTGGCTTTTGTGATATGCCCTGAAGGACTACAGCAGGTCCAGAAATCAATGACTAGATTGAACTGCATCATAAACATGCTGTAGCTCTTTTTCACCTGGGACAGCTATATCAATGATAATTTCATATTACTTAAGTGCTTACAATCACATGAGAGAGGACACAATATTGTGAGAACTGTTTATACAAAGCCAAGGAGCAGGTTTTAACATTGTAGGATATGTGGCAGGTTTTTCTCTTTGCTGAAGAGTAATGCTGCAAGTCAAGCAAAGCTGCAATTCCTATAGCTATAATGTATACGTCGGTGTCAAGTAAACGGCACTACTGGGAGTGATGGGTGGTTGTAGAAACATGAGCAATACCCCCTTGCATAGGGCAGTAGGTAATTTTATGTTCATCCAGAAGAAAAAAATGGGAGAGAGTGAAAAGCAGAGCTGGAAAAGATGGGGTTGCTCCCCTGGTGCTCCCACCTCCCAAGTCAAGCAGGGATTTTCCCTCTCCCCATTTTTTAAAGTCCTTTCCAGTCCAAACATTTCTATGATTCTGTAGTTTGCAGGGACCCTGAAAACCCAAGGGACAGCAGGCCATTTCAAGGAACAGCCTGTGGAAAGCTTCAACCCCTTCGGAAATGCCAGCAGGGTCTGATTAAGTGAGACAGAAGGGTGAAAGTATATGTTTCACCAACACTGACCCAGCTCTTGGGTTCTTGTCTCCTACATTCACCTATCAGTGGGAAATCTCTCTTGTTGATGCAGAAAATAAATTTGTTTGCTTTGCGGTGTGTATGTCTTACAGCACTGTGATCTTTTCTCAAACAATGACATAAACACTCCTGAACTACATTGCTATGTAGGATCTAAGCAACATCATGATGTAGGCATATGTATGTCTGTGAAGTCTGATAGGATGAAAGATGTGTTTTCATATCTCTGGGATTTAGAAAACACAATTTGAGAGGCACCTGTTACTGTCCATTGTTACCAGCGAGCATCCTAAATAATACAAAACTGAACAGAATCCCAGTTAGACCTAAAGTCCACATGGGGAATACGTTTGCAAAAGATACAGTATCAAATTTTACTTCAAATACACCATTAATTTCTATTTTATAATAAAATATACTGTCACTCTTACCTCTAGTTCAAAGGTTTTGTTTGAGAGTTTATAAGTAGGAGAGAATGACTAGACAGCACACTGAAATTTGGCAAAATTTCCCTCCCTCAAAATGTTTCTGTGGCAAAAAGCTGCATCCAGCCGCTCCTCAATCCAGCATTGCACACTGACCTGACAAATATGTGGTGCACACAGCAGTTGTTTAGTGCTCAATTTCAGCTCCTTGTGGTTGCCGGTTAACAAACAATAGTCAAAAAAATGCCATTTCTGGTAACTTGCAATAAGCAGCACAGCAAATTTTCCCCCTGCTATATCTCATATCTCATTTTAAAGGCAAACTCCTTCATCTCTACACAAACTAGCTGCCCCCAAGACACCTTGATCCCCAGCATGTACTCCCAACATGTGCTGAATAATGCCAATTTTTGTTCCCACAAACAAATCTGAACGAGTACCACTGTGCTGTCTTCACTCACTTCTGGCAGCAGCCAGTCCAGGCAGGGGCTGAGAGAGTCACTTCATTTCACACACAGCTCTCAGCGAATACCACCATCTGCTTTAGGTGGTTAAACGACCCCTGCCTTGGGTCTGAAAATTCCCATCAAATCCTGCAGCTTCTGACACTGGATAATTTCAGCTTTCTGCTATGCTGCTTTTGTGGACTATGATAGACTTAACCTACATTTATACAAGTGGAAGAGGGAAGAGTTTGACCCATTTTGGTTTCCTTCAGGAGGTCTCAGAGGACAGTGGTCTTTCTGTGCTCCTCTCCCACTGCACAGACCCCCATCCCCTAAACTGCACTGACTGTGTGAGGGAGCGCATGGCAAAATGGGATGATGAACTCACCCAAGTCTGCAAAAATGCAGGGAATATGTTTAACCTAGATCAATTTTGCTACCTCATTTTAGTCTATAGCCTCAAAACTCCATTCAGCCCACAGAGAAACTCACGGAGAACAGCAAAGACACACAAATGCACCTTATGAGCTTTTTTTTTTTTTTGAATACCAGTTTACCTTCATTCACCCAAGAGTGGTGTGCAGACGTGGCTTTAGTCACCTCCTCAGACTCCGTCCCACCAAGCCATTAAGGAGAGCAGAGCTGGGATCAATTACAACTTGCTTCCTTGGCCTGCCTTTTTGCTGGGCAGGGGCAGATAAATGGTGAAAAGGCTGCTGCAGCCTTGTTAAATCACCTTCTGAACATGCCACTCCAGGAATGCCCAACACAGAATAGATCTGAGTGATTCACCACCCTTGAATCAGCGTGTACCTCAACGCTGATGTCATGAATTTTCCATTAATTAACTGATATTCATTAATTTCTGATATATCCACAAACCTGAGCTGATGACAGTTGGTTATCGTATATAAAAGAATACAATGGTACATACATAGTATCTCTGATGTCATTCTCCAGAAAAACAAGAGTGAATAATATAAAAGATGCTTGGAAATTAATACCCTCCACGTGAATAAAATTAATACATCCAAAACTAAGTTATTGCAATAACCCCTAGGGTTTCCAGATCAGATTGATGTTTTAAATATGCTTATTTCCTAACATTTTGCAACAGACAGGTGACAATAATTGTGTGATCATGGTTATAACCCAGGTGTGATTGCTTCCAATACTTTTTAACAGGTGCAGGGGATAGTTAGAGGCATCAGCTTCCTCTCAGCAGAACTGCCAAAATTAGGACTGGCTTCTTTGCAGGAATTTAGAAGGTATAAATATCCAGAGGCAACAGATATTTATTTGTAAGCCTGCAGGTAAAAGCAAGTGGTAATAGTAATTACAAAGCAATACATTTCTAATTGCAATAGATCACACCCTTGAAGGCTAGACTTTCAGATTGGTTTCTCAGTCCTTAAGCATACTAAACAGCCCTTTAGCAGGATACAGTATGCCTTCAGCAGGATTGAGGAAGTAGAAAATGCCTGGTAAAATCTTTTGAGGTTAGATGGGGAGGTATAACCCTGCACACACACACAGACAGACGTTTTACCAAGTCCTGGAATAAAAAAAAAAAAAAAAAAAAAAAAAAAAAAAACAAAACAAAAAAAAAAAACTACCAAAGCCAATAAAAGAAAATTTGCTTAAAGCTTCCACATTCAAAGCAAGTGTTCAGGTTCCCCAGGATAGAATCCATATGAAAGAAAAAGGTGTTATTTGTTCAACATATTATTCACCGTGAGGCATCAATTACTGTACAACCATTACTGTACAACCATTTCATAACCAAGACTGGACACGAGACAGACCTGGCCTCCGACACAATGGCACACAGCAAGCAGTCACACTCCACTCACAGTATTTCAGAGGCTCAGGCAAACACACTGCTTACAGCTGCACAAGGACAAGAACCTGCTGCCAGTCAGAGAGTTCAGATGAGCAAGCAAGAGCTTGATTGTTAAGCCAGGGTAACTTGCAGTCTCCATGGACCCTCAGAAAGAAAAAATAATTAAAAAAATAATAATTAAAAAAAAAAAAAAACAGAGACCTAAAGCATAATTATTAAATTGCACAAGCTGCTTTTTTGTTTTCATAAGGGTTATAATATCAGTAGTCTTTTTTTGAAAGCCCCAAGGGAAAGACTCTTTGAGAAGCTATTTATATGTCTTCAGTTTTATCCTACAACGGTATGCCTAGTAAACCTTACCAAGAATCTCATGCATGATATCATTTAGGACTTTCACTTAAGTGCTTTTCTGAATTAGAAAACAAAATCCTCCTTCTCTAGTGTTTACATCCTTCCAATTTGCCTTTCATATCACTGCTTTTTTAACCAGCTTAGCTGAGAAACTTTTGTTCTGTTTTATTTTTTCCTGTACTGTTTCAATCTTTTTTTTTTCTTTTTTTTTTTTTTCCAAATAATCTGTGGCCTAGAAAACCAGGATCTTGTAGCAACAATGAACAGGAATGGAAGAAGTGACCCAAACCCGAACTGCTTTAACTTGGAGCACAGACCTAATACTACACACTGCCCTTGTCCTCTATAACTTGAGCTCTCATCAGCTTATACCTCACATACTGGGAGATTCCTTATGTACTGGGCTTTTGTGGAGAGAATGGATGGTGACTCATAACAGTCTTAGGCAGAGTCAAGAAACAGCTTAGCTGACAGCCCTTTGGAGAACATAACAGCTGATCTGCACCTCCCAGGAAGCACTGTCAGATACTGACTTCAGGAGGAGGAAAGAGACCAAGATGTAATAGAGACTAAAGGGTCTTTATAGACCTCCTGTCTTCTGCCCTTCCTCTCACATACCCATCCCCTACTGCCCCTTTCCACCCTCATGTTGACATCTCACCCCTCTCATTGTTGCAGCTCCCTTCAGTCTCTTCCAGCACTAAAGAGAAATTGGGCACTATGCAACAGCTCTGCAAAATATGTGTCAGTGTGCACATGTGCAAATGTATACATGTCTGACATACCAAGTCTTCCCACCTTGGATCCAGTGATGCAGCCACCCCTGTTGTGTGAGTCCAGGCAAAGAACATGTACCAGACCAGAAAAGCAAGAAAGGCTAAAGCATCCCCTTCATTTCTGGCTACATGTTTCTCTAAACAGAGCAGAGTGTTTCCACCAAAAACATTCCTATATTAAAGTGTATGCTTCTTAAAGGAAACATTCAAATTTCTCTAGAAAGCACACATTCATTGCAAAAAGTGAGGGGATAATTTGTCAAATATCCAGTTTTCCATTGTATGGGAAATTTTCACTCAGACCTCCTCAGCTTATTGATGATTTTCAGGAAGCAGACTAGTGCTCTGTACAAATTAATTCTGACTGTATATGCAAGGACTCTGTTTACCCTTCAGAGTCTAAGAGTGCTGGAGCACTTCCATACCTACCACATCACCCTTCTCCAGACCCAGCCCTAAATGTATTCTCCAGTAGATTGGCATGCAGGGGCCACACTGCAGCTTCCAGACATCCTGGAGGGCTGACCTTTGATGGTAAAACACAGACTCCACCTCACTGGCATCATCAGAGATGAATAGGGGAAAACTGGAGAAAAAAAAAAAAGAGAGGGCAAAATCTTCAGCACGCTGTGTTAGCCCAGTCAAACAGCTGATGCATCCAAGTTGTTTCAAGACCCCTCAGGAGCCTCTCTTCATTTTGAGCATCTCCACAGCAAATGGCAACAGCACCCAGCATGAGCAGCATCCATCACAGCCACAGGGCAGGCACATAATCCCTCCTGTTTCTCCTCCTCTTGGGCAGTGAACATTACGCTTTCCTTACCCACCTTGGCAATTTGCAGATGTTAAACTACACTCAGAAGGGCCTATAAAATGCAAGAGAAGCCAAACAAGAATATAGCTCAAAAATTTATAGAAGGAAGGAAGGAAGGAAGGAAGGAAGGAAGGAAGGAAGGAAGGAAGGAGAGGAAGGAAGGAGGAAGGAAGAGGAAGGAGGAAGGAAGTAATGAAGAAGGAAGGAGGAATTGAGGGAAGGAGTTAAGTTAGGGAAGTGAGGAAGAGTGAAGAGTGAAGGAGGTAAGGAGGAAGTAGGTGGTCTGTAGGAGGGGGAGGAGGGAGGGAGGAGGGAGGAGGGAGGAGGAAGGAAGGAGGAAGGAAGAGGAAGAAGGAAGGAAGGAGGAAGAAGGAAGGAAGGAAGGAAGGAAGGAAGGAGGAAGGAAGGAAGGAAGGAAGGAAGAAGGAAGGAAGAAGGAAGGAAGGAAGGAGGAAGGAAGGAGGGAAGGAAGGAATAGCTATAAAGGTTCTGGAATTAAAACAATGTCTTTTCCCAGGCTCCTGCTGAGATCTAGGTGCATGCAACATTTCATGCAAATCAGATGTAATTTACTGTGTGATTTGTTTCTTCAATAAAAAAGTGAGAATATGGAGAACAATAATTTTCCTACATTTTAGCTACACATTTCTCCATAAATAGAATAACTATTATAATGACTTCTTATATGTGCTGGCAGAGTGATTGCCTCTGTGTGAAACACAGGGAGATCATTTCTGTGTTATGCTCCGGATGCTTCACAGAGTTCAGTCATACATGTACGTGTATATATATATATATGTACACAAATACATTCATGTGCACACCCATATGGTACTAATGTACTAATTATGTTACTAATATACAGATGTATGCATCTGTATATTCAGTATAAAATGTATGCTAAACAACACACATGTTTTTGTGAGTGTGTGTGCGCGTACCCACCTGTGTGCACGCATATATCAGCCATTCTGCTCCCATTGTTCCTCTTGTCCAGAACAACCTTATTCCTCCAGACAGTATGGCAGGGATCCAGCTGCTGGTGACAAAAATAAGGTTATTGCTGTCATGGATTTCCCAAAGGTAAACACTTCAACATTGCAAATGAGAGGTATTTTATCAGTCGCTATGCGGGCATCTAGGAATTGCTAGATTAAAAATACATCCATAATCAGCTCTAACTTGCAAGCAAATGTAACGGTGTCAACATAACTTGTACTGGTGTTGCCATCCAAAAGTGTTGCAAATGGTAAGCATGGAGTCCTTCAGCTGAAAAAGAATAGATGAGCAGTTATTCCTGAGGTATGAAATGGGACAGTACAGTAAATAAGGCATTACCACAGTATCATCTTCCAAGAAGAAAATCAAAGCATAAAATTTTCCTCACATGTATATTATTCAAATTAATCTGCTACTTAATCACAAAAAAAAGGGGAGGGGGGAGGGTGGCTTGGGATAGGGCCATTCAGGGGAGAGGCATTTTTGTGAATATTTTATAGAAGAAATCATATCTATAATGTTGGGGAAGTGTGCACAAAAGAGGACAAGATGCAAGGTTATGAAAAGCAGAAAATGCTTATTCCATCTGTAAAATGGACCAGTAAGTTTAGACACATGCAGATGTATGCAATGTGTGTGTGTGACAATAAATTTTTATAATAAGCCTACTTGGAAAGTAGAAGTGAAAAAAATAGGTAGATAAATTACAGTGAACTTGTGGTATTATTATATATTAAAGTATTTTATCACAAATAACTCTGTGGCACTTACCTAGAAAACCTGGATTGGGTGTGAGGTGTGGGAGGGGGAAGTTATTCTGGTAAAGTAGAGCAGCTATTTTCCCAGATGAATAGTAATGGGAGAATAATAAATTCTTGATTGCATTTTCTTGCTTTTTGACATTGTGTTTTAGATTTGTCATTTGTATATATTAATACATAATCAGCTTTGCAATAAATTCTGTTTGGGAAACCATTTCTTGATGGTCTTGATAGATTTGTACATAGAAACATAAAGGTAGACATCAAGAAGAGATGCTTATTCAAGATATAAAATGAAGAACTTAACCAAAAATGCTGTGTTTATTTGTAAGTATAACAAAATAAAAGAATTTGAAGAAAAGCAAGGGACATAAAACATGTATTTCATTAAAAATAACAGGTAACATTTGCTGTGAAGCCAATATTTCAATTTATTAAAAAAGAGACCACGCTCAGGCAATGCAGAAATAGTAATTATATTTTTCATCAGAGAGAGGGAGGATAATGGAGAAGAGTCAGTGTTGTACCAGCTCTGAGAAAGAGAATCACCGTCTGTATGGATGAAAGGCCATGTATATGCCACTCTCAGTTCCTATGGCAAATCTGCTCTTTCATGGCTATTTCACCTTTATTTGACCCTCTTCTCTCTAGTAATGGGACCGCCCAGGTGCAGATATAAGAGTTCTCTGGTTCTTTTGAACTGTCCCCAATACTTGCTGAAGACAGCATCTACTGCTAGAACCTGACCCACCCTACTCCCTGGCACAGGGCACACAGAAACTGCACCTGTCTCCTTCCAGTGATGAGCATGACTTTTACAATCTTTCAGACATCTTAGCTTGAACAAGTGCTGCAAGTTTGCATTCTGCCCCGAAGGTGCCCAAGAAGGCTAAAAGTTGAAAGATTTCAGACTTGCAGAAGTCTGATCACAGCCACACAAAATCTCACTCCTTGAGTGGTCTCTTGAGAAAATCCATCCAAAAGAAAGTCAACGCTTAAGAAGTAGCTGTCTGGAGGAAGCCTAAATGAGTAGCTGCAGATAGACACATAACTTTTAGATGATTAAAACAAAGCTAAATCTCATCCTAAGTACCCGGCCCCTCAACAGGAGGAAGATCTTGTAAGGTGCTCAGAGGTCCATGTAGTCTGGTCACTTGGCATCTCTCTTCAGGAGCTCACAGTTGCCAGGAGTTGACACAAGAATGAGAAACCTGGCTGCCATGCCTCTGCTCCAAGCAGGTCAGCACTCTTTTTTCCTGCCTCCTTTATCCCCTGATCTGTCTTGGGTTCAAGAGCAGATGAGGGAATATCACTTTGTTTTGTTCCTGGGGTAAATTCCCAAAGTGCAAGGCATCTCCCACTTGGGGCATTTCTCTGCCAGCTACTTGGTGTACAAGCAGTCAGAGCTGGGCAAGCCTTTCACAGTCAGGAGCTGAGTCAACTTTTCTCCCATTAACGCTTTTTGTAGACAGGTGAAGATTTCCTTGAATGTCCTTGCTATTTGATTTTTGCTTTTTCCTTTTCTTTTTTTTTTTAATTTTTCCCACCAAATCACCAAATCATTTCATATATGCAGTGCCTATGCAGAGATTTCGTTGCATGTGTTAAAAATTTGGGATTTCAGCTCTTGCAAAGGTGTATAGTGCACATTGTATTTTCAAAGTTTGATTGGAAAAGTATGACTGTGAATTGTATTAACTTTGACAAGGGCCAAGTCAAAATTTGCTTCCTGCCAATAACTGACAGTGTGAGCTGAAAATTCACCACTTTGTTGGAACATTTATATCAGCAAATTGGTTTTCAGGTGTATTGCTGGTTTTCAAATGCTCTGGTAATGAGGAACATATTAAACATCTAGACTGATTTATAGGAAATGCACTCAGAACAGGTGCTGCTACCTCAGCCCAACCTTATTTGCTAACTGAATATGAATAGCAATGTTTTATACTAAACCTGAGCAGACCCCAGAGTAGGTGACAGGATACCTTAGTCCATCTCTCTCAGCACAGATGGTTTTCTTATGAAGCAATTTCTCGGTCTCAGGCTGAACTCTTTGTTTTCTGGAAAGAAAAAAAAAAAATCAATTTGGGGGCTCCAATAGCTGGTAGACATTTTTATGATCACTACAATGCAAGTATGTATTCAGAGGGAATTTTTCAACACTCCTGGAGAAGTAGTAAACAACTTCTTTACTGCCTGATAATGCAGAGATACTTACTTTCATCAAAATAAATCTTGAACAGGTTTCAGTACTCCTCCGAAATGAGAGGTTCAGGGACTGGGACAGGAAGACCTTGGAAGGGAATGATACTTTATTGATTTACTTGGGTAACTATTTTCTTGGCAGTACTTAGCATGGGTGCAAAATACCTATTATGTGCTGACTGTAATTTTTTATAGCCCTCATTTAAAATGATGAAGTGGTTATTCCATGCTTGGTAGGGCTTTGTGTGTTTTGTAAGACACAAGCTGTGCTTCCAAAGGCTGCACAAGCCCAGTGAGCATTCAGCCACATATTTTCTGCTGCCTTTCAGGTTGTTTGGGTTTGGGGTTTTATCTCAACACACCTGAAAATGCACACCTTCCCCACTTGTGTCCCCATGAAGGTAGTGAGTGGAATGGCAACACCTTTTCACAGGGAAGGTTTCATAATAAGTAGTAATAATATATCCCCTGTAATATATCCGCTACAGAACAAATTCTTCCATTTTCCTTCCCACAGTGGGTACGGATCCCACTTACATATCTTACAAATCACAACTCTGAAGGGATTTGGGAAGCAGCCTACTTATAGCAACCACCAAAAAACACTCTTCACCTTCCATTTTCTAAAGGAATCATCCCAAAGGAAACATTTTTTGCTACTTGAATCTGAGGCAAGAAGGTCTTGTAAGTCACCAGTTCTAATCCTGTGGAAGGCCTGTCAAAGCTTATTTCAAATTGAATCTCTTTGCCCCAAATGCTGGTATCCCTGTAATTTAATAAAGGAGTGGATGCATGTAGACATCTTTCAGATGCGTATTCCTCCCTGGGCTGTCCCCCTGCATCTCCATGCTTGGAAAAGAAGGGACATCACGGGTGCAAACTGTTAGCCTATTGTAAAGTTAATACTTTTCTCTGTTTACTTACTTGGAAACAGAAGAAAGAAAACTGACTGAAGAAAATCAGCATATGGTTAAACATTTGGGTGGAAAATAACGGTAAGATTTTGCCCTGTGGTTTGCCCTATAGCCAACCAAAGTCCACTTATGGTAAAATCAATGAAAATATAAGGCACCTAATATTGGATCAGGTGAGATTTGACTCAGTAAGTATTTTACATTGCAAATGTTATACAGAAAGATAAAACATTTGATTAACAGATTCTGGCAGCCTGGCACACTACAAAAGAAAAATTAACATATATCCTACAATCCTCAGCAATTACAGTGTACTTAATCTGGATTTTTCTTTATAATGTAACTGCAAAAAAAATAATTTGAAAGTGGAATCGTTAGCAACAAGAAGACAGAATTACTAGCAAGCCAGGGAAAAGAGAATTAGACGGTAGATACTACCTCTACACATGCAAATGCTAGTAGTAACTCCTTGAAATTGCAGCTGATGGCACTAGGTTGGAGCCGGTGCTGTGGATAAACATAAGTACTAATGCATGGAGGAGAAGTTTTTCTACATAATCTTTTCATATTTCTGTTAAACTATAACCGTCTGCCTATCAAAAGGGCCCAGCTTTAGGACAGGGGGTGCTGCCTGGTGAGGTGGCTCCAGCTCAGCATCCCCAGCCTTGCTTCCTGGCAAAGAGGACGTATTTTGTGACACCACAGTTTTAAGTGACAGATGTGCCCAAAACACGAGTCTGGGGCTGTGATGCATTTGAAACCTTGTCATTCTGCTCATTTATGATAGGTGAAGGACAACCAAGTCCCCACCATTTTTTGAGGGTGACAGGGCTTTTTGTGACACTTCCAGAGCTGTAAGTCATCTATTCCTCCTGCAGGGATGATCTGCCCTCATGTAATTAAGGAGTTAGTACTAACCATATGGCTGATTACAGCAATTATTACAAACACAATGTCTAATGAAGGCAAAAGTATGGTAAAATAATTAGACTTAATTATGACATTCACATTTCAAATTATTCAAATCTCTAGGTTGGAAGAGACCTCAAGATCATCGAGTCCAACCTCTGACCTAACACTAACAGTCCCCACTAAACCATATCCCTAAGTTCTACATCTAAACGTCTTTTGAAGACTTGCAGGGATGGTGACTCAACCACCTCCCTGGGCAGCCTGTTCCAATGTCTAACAACCCTTTCAGTAAAGAAATTCTTCCTAACATCTAACCTAAAACTCCCCTGGCGCAACTTTAGCCCATTCCCCTCGTCCTGTCACCAGGCACATGGGAGAACAGGCCAACCCCCATCTCGCTAGAGCCTCCTTTAATATACTTATACAGAGTGATAAGGTCACCCCTGAGCCTCCTCTTCTCCAGGCTGAACAAGCCCAGCTCCTTCAGCCGCTCCTCATAGGACTTGCTCTCCAGGCCCCTCACCAGCTTCGTCGCCCTTCTCTGGACCCGCTCAAGCACCTCGATGTCCTTCTTGTAGCGAGGGGCCCAGAACTGAACACAGTACTCGAGGTGCGGCCTCACCAGAGCCGAGTACAGGGGACGATCACCTCCCTAGCCCTGCTGGTCACAGTGTTTCTGATACAAGCCAGGATGCCGTTGGCCTTCTTGGCCACCTGAGCACACTGCTGGCTCATATTCAGCCGACTGTCCACCATCACTCCCAGGTCCTTCTCTGCCTGGCAGCTCTCCAGCCATTCCTCTCCCAGCCTGTAGCTCTTCTTGGGGTTATTGCGCCCCAGGTGCAGGACCCGGCACTTGGCCTTGTTGAACTTCATACAGTTGACCTCAGCCCATCGGTGCAGCCTATCCAGATCCTCCTGCAGCGCCTTCCTACCCTCGAGCAGATCGACACACGCACCTAGCTTGGTGTCATCTGCAAACTTACTGAGGGTGCACTCAATGCCCTCATCCAGATCATTGATGAAGATGTTAAAGAGGACCGGCCCCAGCACCGAGCCCTGGGGGACGCCACTAGTGACTGGCCTCCAACTGGACTTGGCTCCATTTACCACAACTCTCTGGGCCCGGCTATCCAGCCAGTTTCTAACCCAACGAAGCGTGCGCCAGTCCAAGCCAAGAGCAGCCAGTTTCTTGAGGAGAATGCTGTGGGAAACGGTGTCAAAAGCCTTGCTGAAGTCAAGGTAGACCACATCCACAGCCTTTCCCTCGTCCACCCAGCGCGTCACTTTGTCGTAGAAGGAGATCAGGTTCGTCAAGCAGGATCTGCCTTCCATAAACCCATGCTGACTGGGCCTGATCGCCTGCTTGCCCTTCAAGTGCCGCATGATGACTCCCAAGAGGATCTGCTCCATGAGCTTCCCTGGTACTGAGGTCAAACTGACCGGCCTGTAGTTCCCCGGGTCTGCCCTCCGGCCCTTCTTGTAGATGGGCGTCACGTTTGCTAGCCGCCAGTCAGCTGGGACCTCCCCCGATAGCCAGGACTGCTGATAAATGATGGATAGGGGCTTGGCCAGCTCCTCTGCCAGTTCTCTCAGTACTCTTGGGTGGATCCCATCCGGCCCCATCGACTTGTGCACATCCAAGTGCCGTAGCAGGTCACCAACCAGTTCTTCGTGGATGGTGAGGGCCACATCCTGCTCCCCGTCCCCTTCCACCAGTTCTGGGTACTGGGTATCCAGAGAGCAACCGGTTTTACCACTAAAGACTGAGGCAAAGAAGGCATTGAGCACCTCCGCCTTTTCCTCATCTCTTGTAACTAAGTTTCCCCCGCATCCAGTAAAGGATGGAGATTCTCCTTAGTCCTCCTTTTTGTGTTGATGTATTTATAAAAGCGTTTTTTGTTATCTTTAACGGCAGTAGCCAGCTTGAGCTCCAGATGAGCTTTGGCCTTCCTAATTTTGTCCCTGCACAGCCTCGCTACATCCTTATAGTCCTCCCTAGTGGCCTGCCCAATTTTCCAAAGATTATAAACCCTCTTTTTCCTCCTAAGCTCAAGCCACAATTCTTCTGTTGAGCCAGGCTGGTCGTCTTCCCCGCTGGCTCATCTTTGGGCACATGGGGATAGGAACCGCTCCTGTCCATTAGGATTTGCCTCTTGAATAGGCACCCATCCTTCCTGAACCCCTCTGGCCCTTCCGAACCCGCCTCCATGGGGGACTCCACCAACCAGTGTCCCTGAGCAGTCCTAAAGTCAGCCCTCCGAAAGTCCAATACATTGGTTTTACTGGTTCCCTTCCTGGCCCCGCCAAGAATAGAGAACTCCACCATTTCGTGGTCACTCTGCCCAAGGACTGTTCCCGACAATCACAGACATCCTCCACCAGTCCTTCTCTGTTGTGTGAAGAGAAGGTCTAGTCGGGCAACCACCCCCCTGGTAGGTTCAGTCACGTAATCAGCTGCGTCAGGAAGCTATCTTCCACTTGCTTTCTCCAGAAACCTCCTAGACTGCTTCCTCTGGGCTGTGTTGTGCTTCCAGGATATGTCTTGGGAAGTTGAAGTCCCCCACGAGTACAAGCGCCGACGATTTTCGGCAACTTCTGTCAGCTGCCTGTAGAACTCCTCATCCGTCTCCTCATCCTGGTTCGGCGGTCTATAGCAGACCCCGACCAGGACACTAGCCTTGTTGTCCCTGCCGATCCTAACCCAAAGGGACTCGATCTTGTCATTCCTAGCCTCGAGTTCTACAACATCGAAAGACTCTCTAATATAGAGAGCCACACCGCCACCCCTTCCATGCTGCCTGTCCCTTCTGAAGAGCCTATAGCCAGGCATCGCAGCACTCCAGTCATGAGACTGGTCCCACCACGTTTCCGTGATGGCAACCAAGTCGTAGCCTGCCCGCTGCACGATGGCTTCCAGCTCCTCCTGTTTGTTACCCATGCTGCGTGCATTGGTGTAGATGCACTTCAGCTGGGCCTTTACCTTATCCTCCGGCCTTGCCACTGCTCCCCCTGGTACAGCCCCAACA